GAGAGAGAGAGAGAGAGAGAGAGAGAGAGAGACGATGTGTGAGATCGGTAAAGTTGGTGCTGCTGGCTGTTAGAACGAAGGGGACGCTATTCCAGGTTCATTTGGCAACATGCTGAAAGTAGTTCTCTCCCGCAATTGAAAAAAAAAGACCCATTTATCATGGTTATCTCCCCAGCGTATCCTCCGTTAAAAATGGTGAACTGGTATAGGCCACCGATGCCACTTTGGGGTAGCAAGACTTCTCATTGTATGTGGTTGTGGTCGTGGTCATAGTTGCTTGTCTGTTTGTTTGTTTGTTTGTTTATTTATCTATTTATTTATTTATATTCTTTCTTTCTATGTTTATTTATATATTCATTTATTTCTTCTTTCTTTCTTTCTTTATTTAAGAAAAGACAAGCCCATTCACGCAACACCAGCCACTAAGTGCTGGGAAAGAGACAGACAGACAGACAGACAGACAGACAGACAGACAGACAGACTCAAAAACAAGAGGGAATTTAAAAAAAGAAACTCTACCAGAAGCACTCTATAGTTTTAGTAAAAGTTTTACGGCACTTGCAATACAATACGGTCATATAAGTGCCGAAGATTAAGAGAGGTGTTACAAGAGAGTAACAGACACAAAAAAGGAGGGGGAGAGATATAAGGAGGGTAGATGCTTGTAAGGAAAAAAAGAGCAAACCACACCAGAGCACACGCCAACCACCCACAAGCACTCTCCAACGAACCACCCATACGAAAGAAGAACAGACAAGTAAAGAGAGGGCAATACAAGACAAGATCTAAACTTTATTGAACCACAAGAATTTTGGGTTGAAGAATTGATTCATTCAAATGTCAGCTGAAGTCGTTTCTGTTTTTAAATTAATAAGATGAATATTTGGAGTAATTTTCTTTTAGTCAGAACACAACGTTTCATGTTACTTGTATGTGTACTTTTGTACTGTATTGTAAAGAGCTCAGAGCCTTTGTACTTTAATCGGGGTTGGCACTATATAAATGTCATTTATTATTATTATTTAACACAAAGAGACAAAAAACAACACACACAAAACCAAAACAAAACAAAAAAACAACACACACAAAAACAAAACAAAACCAAAACAAAACCAAAAAAAACAACAGACACAAAAAACAAAACCACAAACAGTTTACCTGTACCGAGAGCGTGACATTGGGCGGGTGCTGAGTCATCAGTTCCCGCAGGTTGTCGGGGAAGGGTGCCTGTGGTCCCGCCGCTCCGTCTATGGTGGGCATGCCAGCCTGGGAAATGGTATGAGTTCATTATTATCATTTAGCAGAGGTGTTACGGCACTCGCAACTGCATACGGTCATATGAGCGCCACGGGGTGAATGTTTTTTAAAATATTTTAGTTGAGGGTTTTACGGCGCTCGCAACTGCATAAGGTCATATGAGCGCCAAGGGGTGGATGTCAACAGAGAAGTCTTTACAGGGAATCAGATTTACTCTGCTCACCTCTCTAGCTTCAACAGCACAAAGTCTATTTCGATTTTCAAGGCACTCCGGAAATAGCGGGTCACAAGACTGTGATAAACATACAAAAGAAGTAGAGGAAAAAATGACAATAGAGAGGATTAGGAAAGAAAAAGCAGCAGTTCCCTGTTGTAGATCAGGTACAGTTATGAGCGTGACATCGTTTAATCAGCCCATTTACAATTCTACTGTGCATGCACAGTTTCCATACCTGGGCAAATCTCTGAGTGAACTGCTGGGGCAGCGCTTGCAGTCGCTGTTGCTGTTGCTGCTGCTGTAACAACAGCCGTCTCTCTCGCTCCTGCTGCTGCTGCTGCTGCTTCTGTCGGTGCCGTGCCTGGAAATGAAATATACAATAATTCTTGAATGAAAATTAACCCCACTCGATTTTCCCACATGTAAAATTTACTCATCCCGAAAATTAAAAAGACAATAATAGACCTGCCTCTATACCAACAATCCCGACTGATGCCAGTTATTTTTTAAATCACCGATATTGATATTTTTACACGGGTACACAACTAATTTCATCAACACTTTTGACTTGACATTATAATGTAAACAAAACAAAATAAAAAGAGTCTTTTTTTAGTAGAGGTTTGATGGCGCTCGCAACTGCATAAGGTCATATGAGCGCCAGAAGATTAGAGGTGTTACAAGAGAGTTACAAACATAAAAAAGAAGAAGGGGAGATAAGGACGATAGATGTTTGATAAGAAAGAAGAAGCAAACCACACCAGAGCACCCGCCAACCACCCACAGAAAGAGTCTGAAATCTTAACAGGAACCCATAATATGTGAGGCATGCTGACAAAATGAGTTATTTCTCGCAATCCATAAATAGAGATATTGGCCAAAAAATCGACAATTGGGTCAAATTTTGTAGATTTTCTGTTGATGCCATATTCTTTATCTAAATTATTATAAAATAATACCATGCCTTTTATTATTTCATACTTATAAATTGTAAAAACTTCCACCTATAAGTGTGATGTATCTATTTTCATAAAGGCTTGAATCCGAGAAGTAACACACTTTGTCAGCACACTTCACTTAATGTTTCAGTAAATTAGAATAAAGATTTATAAACACATAGAGACAATATCCGTAGGCCTACTGGTTGTTTAGCACTGGGTAAAAGCAAGACAGACAGATTAACCCTTCCAGCCCCAACCATTTTTGTGCACTCCCAAACCCCAGTCCCAAACTATACAGAAGTATTTCAGAAAAAGAGGCATACATTCTAAAAAGTGATGTAATATTTTTGTAATTAGCTTTGGATAATGACATATAACAATGTTGAAAGGTAAATAAACTAATATGAAAACTTAAGTTTAATTAGGTTCGCTAATTTCGAAAAATGCACAAATTTAGTACTCCCAGAAACGGAGAAACTATGCGCTTGGGACAATGGGAGGTACAAGTGCTGCTGAAAATATACACACATGAGGCTGGAAGGGTGAAAAATAAGAGGAATAGTACATGGTACCACTGGTACCCTCCAACGGCCCGCACAGTTGACAATATTCCAATGATAATAATAATAATAAATAGCATTTGTATAGCGCATATCCCTGCTCAACAGCAGGCTCTATGCGCTTTACACTATATTATTACCCCAGCAGACCACAGAACACTCCGAAACATTCTCAGGCATACGGTGCAAGCAGCTGATTAAGCGCTCAAACACTAACAAGGTCTTTCGCTGTCTATAGCCGGGTACCCATTCCCACCTGGGTGATGTGAGGAAAATTTGGTAAAGTGCCTTTCCCAAGGACACAATGTCGGGCCCCTGACGGGATTCAAACCCACGACCTTACGGTTGCGAGTCCGAGAGTTGACAATTTTCCAATGATGTAGTGTACATACACAGTTGACTATGTACCAATGATGTAGTGTAGATGTGTGTTGCTCTTACAGTATGTATCTATATATAACTCCAGAGGTCTTGTATTTAAATTCCTGCATGTGGTTGAATGATGCATCTGATGTGGATGTACATTTTGTCAGCTTTACTTCTCTTTTCATATTGAATTTTAATGAGAGTAGTATATCATTAAAATTTTTAAAGAACACTTGCATCTGTTTTTACGGTCCTGTACAGCCAAGAAAAATTGCCCTCTGGGATAATAAAGTATTATCTTATCTTATCTGTACATACACAGTTGACAATGTTCCAATGATGTGGTGTACATACACAGTTGACAATGTTCCAATGATGAAGTGTGTACATACACAGCTGACAATGTTCCATCCAATGATGAAGTGTGTACATACACAGCTGACAATGTTCCATCCAATGATGAAGTGTGTACATACACAGCTGACAATGTTCCATCCAATGATGAAGTGTGTACATACACAGCTGACAATGTTCCATCCAATGATGAAGTGTGTACATACACAGCTGACAATGTTCCATCCAATGATGAAGTGTGTACATACACAGCTGACAATGTTCCATCCAATGATGAAGTGTGTACATACACAGCTGACAATGTTCCATCCAATGATGAAGTGTGTACATACACAGTTGACAATTTTCCAATGATGTGTTTTTAAAATCTTAGTAAAAGTTTTACGGCACTTGCAACACAATAAGGTCATATAAGTGCCGAAGATTAAAGGTGTTACAAGAGAGTAACAAAAACAAAAAAGAAGGAAAAGAGAGAAGGACGATAGATGTTTGATAGGAAAGAAGGAGCAGACCACACCAGAGCACCCGCCAACCACCCAATGATGTATTGTACATACACAGTGGACAATTTTCTAATGATGTAGAGTACATACCTGGTGCAAAAGGTTCTGTCGGACCATCATGTTCTGTGAGCTGAGGCCGGCCGGGCGCAGTGCTGGGGCCAGGGGACCCGCGGGGTGAGGCACGGTCGCTGGACACAAGGGAGGGAAAAGAAGGGGGCTGAATTTCAGTCCAGTGACATCAAAATTACCTTTCTTTTCTTTTTATTGCCATCTCCTCCACCACAATTATAACAGATAGTATTTGTATAGCGCAAATCCCCGCTCCACAGCAAGCTCTATGAGCTTCACAAATCTATACTATTACCCCAGCAGACCTCAGAGCAATCTGAAACAACCTAAACTTCCTAGGAAGCATACAGTGGCAAGCAGCCATTTATAGGCGCCAAAAGTTTAGTTTAGTTTTAATAGAGGTTTTACGCCGCCTGCAACTGAAAACGGTCATTTGAGCGCCAGAAGATTAGAGGCATTACGAGAGAGTGTCAAACATAAAAAAGAAGAAGGGGAGATAAGGACGATAGATGTTTGATAGGAAAGAAGGAGCAAACCATACCAGAGCACCTGCCAACTGCCCACATAGGCGCTTAAACATTAACATACTGACAAGATCTTTCGCTGTCTATGGAAATCAAACGAGTAATCTTGAATCTTCCCAATGTGATGCCACTAGATGTAAACAACACAGGCTGTACACCTGAAAGTATGGCAGCCACCACAACGAGACAATTATTACCCACACTTCCTCTTCCTTCTACTTACAAAGTTGATAGATTAACAAAAAAAATTGTTTTCTATTTTAATTCATTTAGAAATAGATGATAATAAATGTGTTCATCTAACCATTTGGAAAACCAGAGATGTCTCATTTCAAACAAAGCTAAGGATTTTCAATTTAAACGTGAAATCAGTCCTGTTGTATGGATGCGAGACATGGAACGCACCAAAGACTTGCATAAAGAGGATCCACATTTTCTTGAATAGGTGTCTAAGAAAGTTACTGAGGATCAGATGGACTGACAGGGTCAAAAACGAGAAAGTGTTAAGGAAAACAAGAAAGATCCCAGTCAGAGATGAGGAAGGAAGAAGGTGGTGCCCATGGATTGGACATACTCTCAGGAAGTCAGGCAGCTGCATAACAAAGAAAGTGTTGGATTGGAATCCACAGGGTAAAAGATCAAGGGGAAGACATCGTGGAACCTGGAGAAGAATTACAGAAATTGATGTACAGAAAAGTGGGAAGTGGAAAGTGTTTGTCCGTGGCCTACACCCTGGAGCAGAGTGAGAAAGACATGATGACATTTAACCATTAACATCTTGCTATCACAAGGCTCATATAGTAAAAACCCTTGCCATCACAAGGCTCATATAGTAAAAACCCTTGCTATCATCACAAGGCTCATATAGTAAAAACCCTTGCTATCATCACAAGGCTCATATAGTAAAAACCCTTGCCATCACAAGGCTCATATAGTAAAGCCCTTGCTATCATCACAAGGCTCATATAGTAAAAACCCTTGCTATCATCACAAGGCTCATATAGTAAAAACCCTTGCTATCATCACAAGGCTCATATAGTAAAAACCCTTGCTATCATCACAAGGCTCATATAGTAAAAACCCTTGCTATCATCACAAGGCTCATATAGTAAAAACCCTTGCTATCATCACAAGGCTCATTTAGTAAAAACCCTTGCTATCATCACAAGGCTCATATAGTAAAAACCCTTGCTATCATCACAAGGCTCATATAGTAAAAACCCTTGCTATCATCACAAGGCTCATATAGTAAAAACCCTTGCTATCATCACAAGGCTCATATAGTAAAAACCCTTGCCATCACAAGCATTTTGGGGGAAATCCAAAGAAACTGGGAGGTAAACATCACTGATCGGCGTTTTGTGACGGCGGCGGAAGTTTGGCGTTCTCCGCGATCAGCGAGATGTGATGGCAAAGTGTTAATCCTCTTCTTTTGACTGATCTTGGAGCACAATGTTCCTCTCTCTCTCATCCCCCCCCCTCTCTCTCTCTCCACCCCCCTCTCTCTCTCTCTCTCTCTCCCTCCCCCTCTCTTTCTCTCTTTTCTTCGACCTCCTCCCTCCCTCCCTCCCTCCCTCTCTCTCTCTCTCTCTCTCTCTCCCTCTCCCCCTCTCTCACCTCGTGGCTGTGTGAAGCCCTGCTGCTGTTGCTGTGGCTGCGGCTGACGGGGCTGCTGCGGCCTCATCCCAGCATTGAAGCCCGGCTGCAAGGCCGGCTGCTTGAGCTGCTGGGCGGTGGCGGCGTAGTGACCGCCGGGCCCCACCACCATCTGCGACAGCTGCTGCTGCTGTTGTTGAGTGAGGCCCGACTGGAGCTGCTGCTGTAGCGTCCGCTGATGTGAGAGAGAGAGGGGGGAGTAAATGACACAGTTAGAACAAAGTCCATGGTAAAATAACGCAGTTAGAACAAAGTTCATGGTAAAATAACACAGTAAGAACAAAGTCCATGGTAAAATAACACAGTTAGAACAAAGTCCATGGTAAAATAACACAGTTAGAACAAAGTCTATGGTAAAATAACACAGTTAGAACAAAGTCTTTGGTAAAATAACACAGAACAAAGTCCATGGTAAAATAACACAGTTAGAACAAAGTCCATGGTAAAATAACACAGTTAGAACAAAGTCTTTGGTAAAATAACACAGAACAAAGTCCATGGTAAAATAACACAGTTAGAACAAAGTCCATGGTAAAATAACACAGAACAAAGTCCATGGTAAAATAACACAGTTAGAACAACATCCATGGTAAAATAAGGTAGTTAGAACAACATCCGTGGTTAAAAGTACATGTTCACTGATGCGTCAGAGAGAGAGAGAGAGGGGGAGAAAATAACGCAGCTAGTAAAAGTAAACTTTAGCCCTCAAATCATGTTTTATGTTTTAGAAAGAGTATTAATGCATTAGCAGCACAATTGGGTCGTATAAGTGTCCAAGATCAGAGGTGCAACAAAGGAGTAACAAATACAAAAAAAGGAGGAGGAGATATAAGGACAATAGAATAGATGTTTGATAGGAAAGAGGGAGCAAACCACACCAGAGCACCCGCCAACCACCCACTCCCTCGATTCAGAACTTGCTTACACATAGGGGATCTCTACTCTGAGACAGCAAAACATGTAACGACTGCACCACAAATGCTGGTTCTAACAGATAAAAATGATAGAGATGAGGAAAAAGGCGCAGAAGGAAGAAGGCGCAGAACACACGGGGTACCCACAAACTGCCCACATGTTGTCTGCATTGCTGGTGTCGCAAGCAATCCTAATAACCCTAGCCGTACGCCCTGGGGTCATTTTGTACCCCCGAGGATGTATTCTTCACATTTGAGAATATTTCTAGTACGAAAATCTCTTTGAAACTTTCAGTATTTCTCAAAAAAATCGTTTCACAGACTGCTAGGTGTAGCGAACAGATCGGACTAACAAATAAATTTCCTTTGAAAGTGATGGTACAGAGTTCCCCACGTTGAATGGATGCCATGGTAAAACATGACGTATGGATAGGGTGAAGTGCCTTAGGTTACTTCTTACCCCACAGACCAAAAATAGTGTTTGTTGTGATTGTTCCCATCAAGAATCACGAAGAGCAAAAAATGTGCAAGCCTTGACCATAACACTAAACTGTCTTTTGGCGATGTTGAAAGGGTGTGCATCTTGATAAAGCTTTGAGAGGATGTCAGAATTTTTAAATTTTCAAAGTTTGGACTCGAGCGGATTTCGACAGCTCCGAATGTGAAACAGCGCGGTGAAATCAGGCGCTCGTCAAAATACAGAAATCGGAGAAACAGGCATTTTTCTGCCAGTTTGGAAATCTTTATCGAATTATTTTATTTTGGCTCAACCACTTTTATGTCATAAAAAAAACATATTTCCAAGTGAATTTTACTGAAAAAACTGATTAAAGGCACAAAATATGTCATTCTTCTTTTTCCAAGGACTCTTTAGCTATTGGAGTTACCAAACTTTGACGGCCATTTTCTCATTAATTTCACAACTGAAACCAGGCGACCTCACTTCATTCAATCGCATATATCTTGAGTTGTTCAAGACAGATGGATATTTATTTCATTGCAAGTAAAGCAAACAAATCAACTTTCAAATGATGCCAATTATCCCTCAGCCCCATGCCCAAAATTTGACAAGCGCCTGATCCCACCGCGTCATGACAGTTATGTTCATGCTAAACTATGCTGATATGAGAAGAGACACTCATAGTTCTCACCTGCAACCCTTGCCGTCCTCCATCCACTCCAGCACCCATTATCTGCTGCTGCTGCTGCTGTTGTTGTTGCTGCTGCTGCTGCTGCTGCTGCTGCTGCGAAGGGAGGATCGGGTCATCTCCCATCAACTGGCGTTTAATCCCGTCGATGGCCTGCTGTTCGTTGGCCAAGTTGGAGGGGCCGCCCTGTCGCACCTGGCCGGCACTGCCCATGGTGAGGAAGTTCTCGCTGGGCCAGTTCCCCGTCTCTTTCATTATCTCTTCCAACTGAGCCACCAGGTTGAGTTCGTCATTCACGTCGATGTCCGTGGCCAACGACTGCTGGCCTTGTTGTTGTTGCTGTTGTTGATGCTGTTGTTGTTGTTGTTGTTGTTGTTGTTGTTGTTGTTGTTGTGATAGAGGTTGCAGTTGGGAAGGGTTCATTGGCTGTGATGAGGTGGCGGATGTGGATGAGACAGATGAGGATGCGGAGGAGGCGACGATCGAGGAGGGTGGTAGTGAGGTAGTGGAGGAAGGCTGCTGGGGGGACATGAGAAACTTCTGTTGAGAAATGGCAGCGTTAGCGTCCTGAGACTTTTGTAGTTGTTGTTGTTGTTGTTGCGGCTGTTGGAGCAGTAACCTTTGCTTTTGCTGCAGCTGGAATTTCTGCTGCTTCTGATTGGAAAGCATGCGCAGCCGGTCCTGCTGAAGCTGCTGTGCCTGTGACTGCTGTTGCTGCTGGATGGGGTTGAGCCCCCGGTGCTGCATGGACGACACGGGGCCGGCACTGAGGGCCTCGGCAATCGACGTCACGGCCGCACTGCTCGAGCCCACCGGCCCGCCACCCACCACCTGCCCGCCAACCCCCATGCCTTGAGAGGGAATGCCCACACCCACGCCCACACTCACGCCAGCGCTGGACCCCATCTGACCTATCCCACCAGCACCCATGCCGACGCCACCACTCCCACCACCGGAATTGTTGTTGTTGTTGTTGTTGTTGCCACTGTTGTTGCCGGAGAGAGCGTTGCGGTGTAGATCCTCCTCTAGATCGGCGGCCTGCTGTAGTATCTGCGACAACAAGGCGTCGTTGAGGGAACTGTCTCCCCCGCTGCTGCCAGAGTCACCAGGCATAAAGTCACCGGCCGAGGTAAGGTACGAGTCCCCACTCTCCAGGAAACTTTGTATCTGGCTGAGCTGACTGTCCGCAGACACGATCTCATTCCCGCTCAGACCCGGGCTCGTATCCATACTCGGGAAATGCGCCAGAAAGTTGGGCAAGTTATTGCTATTATTGTTATTATTATTATTGTTGTTACCGTTATTATTATTTGGGTTGCCCGACATCGAAGTGGGCAGGCCTCGTCGAGCGTACAAGTTGCGCTGTTTGTCCGACATGCCAGCCGTGGCTCCCACCATGCCCGGCATCCCGCCACTTCCCATAATGCCGTTGTTGTTGTTTCCCTTCATCCCCATGGCATCCCCAGCACCACCAGGGGGCCCGCCGTCGGCCAGGTTCCCCACCGTGATGCACTTACTATCCAAAACATTCGACTTGAACCGCGACTGCGGCACTGCCGTGGGGTTGGTCGTACCCGAGATGTGCGTGTTGACCACCCTCTCCTTCGGCGCCCTCTGGCACAGCAGCTGGGCTAGCAGGGCATTCCTCTGCGACAGAGACGAGCTCTGGGCCGAGCCGGGCAGCCCCGCGCTCCCGGACGAGGTGCTGGGCTCCGTGTCCACGCCCACCCCATCGCTGCTGTCCACGTCCGAGAGGGACATCTTGCGGCGCTTGGAGGCGTGGCTGCCACCCCCTCCGCCGCTGCTGCTGTCCACGTTGCTTGACATGCTGGTGGCGCCCCCTGGGGCCGGGGTGCTGCTGCTGCTCAGTGTGGGCTCCTGCTTGGGCAGATCCCGGTCCCTCTCCCACAGGCTGTGCAGGAGGCTGGAGAAGTAATATGATGGACAGAATGTTAAAGGTTGAAGGTGTAGGATGGATAGAATGTTAGGGGCTGGAGATTTATGATGGACAGAACGTTAGGAGTTGGGAGAAATATATGATAGACAGAACATTAGGAGCTGGAGATGTATTCAAAACATGAGAGGATGGAAGATATAGATGGATAGAACATTAGGAGCTGGAGATACATGATGGACAGAACGTTAGGGGCTGGAGATAACACTCATCACTTAGAGCCATCACGTGGATATTCTGTCCTGGGCACTCTGGAGTGAAAGGCAATGAGGAGGCTGATAGGCTGGCAGGCAGTGCCGTGGTTGATGGTGAGGTGAAATTTGACAAAGGAGAAGTGTTGAAGACCCTGGAGAAAAAGTTGCGGGATGAAGAGGACAAGGAGACAGCAGAACACCACGCAATCATTAGGATGCGGGAAATGGGGATAGAGAGGGGAGAAGGAAGAAAGGAATGATTATCTGGAAAGGAAAGACGTCGCCATAATCAGACAGCCACCGGAACAATAAGTATGGATACCTTGCGGGCTTTGGTGCTGGGGGGAACTGAGCACTTATGGACCTGTCCGGTGTGCAATGACGTTGTTGCCCAGGACAGGTAATACAGGTAATGATAATAATGATGATGATAAATAATGATGATGATGATGATGATAATGATGATGATAATGATGATAGTGATGATGATAATGATAATAATGATGATGATAAATAATGATGATAATGATGATGATGACCATAATAGTGATGATGATGATGATGATAATGATGGTGATGATGATAATGATGATGACCACGTGTAGCGACTTACTCATCCAGCTGTTTGTTGGGTAGGTCCGAGGGTCCGTCCCGCCGGATGTTCTCCAGGAGGTTCACCAGTGCCGGAGAAATGTTGGAGTTGCCGCTGCCCTGCGGCGTGGGGGGTTCTGAGTGCGAGGCTGGGGCGGAGGTGGACTGAGGTTCTTGCTGCTCCGACTGGTGTCTGGACCGCGACGCCGAGCCCGGGTCCTGCTCTGTGGACGTGCTCTCCTGGGTGGACACAGACAGACAACATTGTGGGTTTTTGTTTTAGTAGAGGTTTTAATTGTTTGTTTTTTTAGTTTTAGTAGAGGTTTTACTTGGGTTTTTTTTTTGTGTTAGAAGAGGTTTTAGTTGGGGGGTTTTAGTTTTAGAAGAGGTTTTAGTTGTTTTGGGTTTTTTTGTTTTAGAAGAGGTTTTAGTTGTTTTTCTTAGTTTCAGAAGAGGTTTCAGTAGTTTTATTTTTAGTTTTAGAAAAGGTTGGGTTTTTTAAAGTTTTAGCAGAGGTTTTAGTTGGGGGTTTTTTTTTTAGAGAAGCTTTAGCTGGGTTGTTTTTTTTTAGAAGAGGTTTTAGGTTTTTTTTAAAGTTTTAGAAGAGGTTTTAGTTTAGTTGGGGTTTTTTAAGTTTTAGGCGCTCGCAACTGCATAAGGTCATATGAGCGCCATAAGACTAGAGGTGTTACAAGAGAGTAACAAACATTAAAAAGAAGGAGGAGAGATAAGAACGGTAGATGTTTCATAGGAAACAAGAAGCAAACCACACCAGAGCACCCGCCAACCACCCACACAATGATATGGGTGTGGAATTACTTTCTGAGGCATTGTGGCGAAATCAGGCGCTTGTCCAAATAGTGAAAAGGAAGAAAAGGGCATTTTCCCACCAGTTTGGTAATTCTTATCAAATGTTTATTCTTTGTTTTGGCTCAACCCCTTTTATGTCCATTCAAAAACCCATTTCTGTTTAGATTTTGCTGAAAACCGTTGATGAAAAGGACAAAAAATGTAAAATTTCACTTGCAGTGGAATCTCAAGCTATGGAAGTCACAAAACTTTGGCTGCCATTTTCTTGTTAATTTTACCTCTGAAACCTGAAAACTCCACCTCATTCAATCGCGAATATCTTGACTTCTATTCAAGTTAGACCGGTATTTTCATCATCAAAAGAAAGACAACTGATCAATCGTTACGACAATACCAATAACTCCATATGCTCAAAAACTGACGAGCGCCTGATTCCACCTGTTCACAAGATTGTCTGTATATCATGACAAGAGTGTCAGTATATATCACAACCAGCCTCCCCATATCCCACTCCCACCACCCACACACGGATCATCTATATATTATATTCAAACAAGCCAATACCCATGTCCCACTCTCACCACCCACACACGGATCATCTAGATCTATATATGGTCGCTTTTAAGGACAAGAGGGCTAACCCAGATTTCAGGGGTTTTCAGAAAGCCACACACCTACACCAAAAGTGAGCATCGCCCTACCTATAGGAGAAATTTGGTTTCATTGGTGTATTGTTTGGTAATAGAAGAAACTCTCCTTGTCTTTTAAAGAAACTGTACAAGGGGGAAAAAACTTTACCTTCGATTTTCTCAAAACAGCATTTTTCGGGATAGCCCCCTTGTGCTTATATAAAGCGACCATAGATATCCTAACAAGCCCCACTTCCCCCCTCATCAAACTCACAGCGGGGGCCGACATCGTAACGCTGCCCCCACCACCAGCCGCGGCCGCCTCCTCATCGCTGTCCTCCAGGAGGTGGTTCAGCAGCTCGCGGCCCGTGCTCAGCTTTCTCTTGGTGGCGGCCGGGCAGGGGGCGGCGGTGGTGGTGGTGATCGCTGCGGTGGCTGTGGCTGCGGCTGAGCTGGAGGAGACTCCGGCCATGGTCTTGGACTGGGCGTTCTCAATCTCCTTCCGCAGTCCCTCGTTCATGCGCTCGCGGCCGTGGCTCTTGGCCTCGTCGTCCAGCAATTGCTGTTGCCATGACGACAAGAATATTAGTGTTAAACATGTTGAACCACAATCAACCTCTCTGTGATGACAATATAAAAAAATACAAAAATCTATTAAACCAAACACCCCCCCCCCCCCCCCCCCCCAAAACCAAGACTACGGCCTCACCAACAATCGACCTCGCACTACAATGACAAACCAAAACCAAGCAACTCAACCCCTTCCCCTCTGCAAAACCAAAATAAGTTCAACCTAAACTGTGATCAACTGCACTACCATGACAAGGCTTAATAAAAACTGTCAAACCAAAAGCGATATCAACCCCTCTACAATGACAATACAATAAACCGTTAAACCAAACCAGTGATCAATCACTGTTACTGTAAGAGTCTGCAGATGGGATATTGGTGTTTTTTGGCATAAACAAAAGGGACAGGGGAGGGGGGGTGATATTTAAGAATTAAAATCTTTTCTCAAAATTCATGGTGTGCATCATAGCAACATTTAACAAGCCTATCTTGAGTGTAGAAATTTTCAAAAAGATTTGCTTAATACTGTATCAGACTTAATAAAATACGTTATGGCAGGCAAACAAACAAAACATTTCAGAATGAAGTCCACATCAAAATGGTCATTGAAAAGGAACTATATAAAGAAATGTAACCTCTAAGGCAAAAAGTACATGTAAATGAAACAAAAGCTACAATTAATTACATTTGATATAGATTCACTCCTGCTTGTGTCAAGGCTCATCTCTCAAACTATGTCACATTATTTGAAAGTAAAAACAGCCATTTTCAAAATAAATTCAGATTAATGGAATACTTCTTTAAGAAAGAGGCCTTCTCTTCTCAAATGTAAATCCAATGGTTACAACTTTAAAACTCCATTTTCAAAATAAATTTAGATTAATGGAATGCTTATTTAATTAAGAAAGAGGCATTCTCTTCTCAAATGTTAATCTAATGGTTACAACTTTAAAACCTTTTCTGATCACCTGCTGTTGTTGCTATCGATCCAGGCCGGACGCTTGCGAACATCCAACAATCATAAGTGCAAATTTTATCATGCTACACAATTATTTAGCAATCAACAAAAAAGGGTTGAACAAAAATGCAAAAACACACAAAAAGGTCAGGACTTCTTTTCAGTGGAATGTACAAAAATATTCAGTGCACACTGCCAATCACATTCGTCAGATTGAGTCGATGCCAGCCAGATTTTTCCTTCATGTATGGCGGTAAAAGCTACCATTTTGGCACTACACACCCAAATTCAACTAAATGCGACTGTAACCCCAGAATCAAACACAATTGTTTTTCAGGGTCATGAGTCGAATCAATAATTGTATTGAGCCAAAAAGGTAGCTTTTGCCCCATCCATAAAGGAAAATGTGTCTGGCCCCAACTAGATCTGATGAATCAGTTTGGCGGTGTGCACTGGGTATAAAAAAGGAGAGAGAGAGAGAGAGAGAGAGAGAGAGAGAGAGAGAGAGAGAGAGAGAGACAGCATCCTGCTCCTGCATCAAGGTTCACTCAACAAAAACCAGAGGCCCCCACATGCACATGCTGTGTGACAGATCAAGTTTTTTGTTTTAGTAGAGGTTTTACAGCGCTCCCAACTGCATAAGGTCATATGAGCGCCAAGGGGTGGATGTAAATAGAGAAGTCCTTACAGGGAATCAGACTTACTCTGCTCACCTCTCTAGCTTCAACAGCACAAAGTCTGCTTCAACTATCAAGGCACCCCAGAAATAGCAGGTCACAAGAGTGTGACAAACACACGAAAGAAGTAGAGGAAATATGACAATAGTAAGGATGAGGAAAGAAAAAGCAGCAGTTCCCCGTTGCAGTTCAAGCACAATGCATGAGCATGACATTGATGAATCAGCCCATTTACAATTCTACTGTGCATAAGAACAGATTCCCCCCTTGGGAATGGCCTAAAGACAGTTCAGTCAGTAGCACTGCCCTGGGGGGTAGAGGGGAGATAAAGACGATAGATGTTTGACAGGAAAGAAGGAGCAAACCACACCAGAGCACCTGCCAACCACCCAGTAAAGAGAAGCACATCAACACAATTAAGGCCCATGAGTGACGGAAAGACGCAAAATAGATCAAACAGAAAAAGTAAAGAGACTTGAGATTTCACGAGTGGGGTCCCATATCATTCAAAGAAATCAGCATCTAGATCAACAAACTCTGCTTTCAACAAGGAATAAAAATGTGATACATCGGTCAGTGAAAAAATAAAATTTGATTCTAAGTTGGGGTTTTTTCTACAGAACCACAGGTTAAAAACATAACAAAGTCAATGGCATAAATACCCCCCCCCCCCCCCACCAAAAAAACCCACAAAAAAACGTCACCATAACCAATATATATGTAAAGCATGATAGTAAAAGCACAACATGCAATGCCCTATTTGCTTGAAAAACATCAGGAAAAAAAATCATTCACTGTCAGAGTTTGACTGCTGTTGGCAAGCTATCACAAAAACCTAGGTTTGAATTCCATTTAACAGCAAATCAGCACAGCCAAAAATTGTCTACTCTCTTCCAAAACAAAACATGACTTGACAAAAGCTTTCTATTTCAAACGTCATCCACACCAACCTAACTGAACAGAATAAAAAGTGTGAACAAAATATTACTACATCGGACATTCATTCAATCGTGTCTTGTAGAAAAACATAATACATATTTAACATACTCTGACTTGACAAAAAGTATTCCAACAACAAACATCATCATATGGTAAATAGCTATGATTCTACATTGGGTACACAGCATCATAATTATATCTGCACTGGACTCCCTAGCCGGTGGTTACAAAAAAAAAGAATGGAACATTAGGCAGGGAAATAACAGAAAGCAACAAGACTTTAACCCTATCCATACGCCCTGGGGTCATTTTGTAACCCCCCCCCCCCCCCCCCCGGTAGTATTCTTCACATTTTAAAACACTTCTAGTACAAAGAACTCTTCGAAACTTTCAGTATTTCTCCAAAAAATCATTTTGACAGACTGCTACGCAAAGCGTACGGATCGGAACAACGAGTAAATTTCCTCTTTGGAAAATGATGGCCCCAACGTTGTATGGATACAACAGTAAAACACGACATACGCATAGGGTACAATTAATCAGTGCTCAGATTCCTACACTTAATCATAGTACAACTCCTCGTTGTATCAGTTTCATCACACTCCTTCCAAATGTTCTGATGTCAATGATAGTTAACTCCACAAACTTATCTCTCCTAATATTTAACCCAGTTTAAAAGCTTATCTTGTTTTGTTTGTTTGTTTGAGTAAAGAGAAGCAGATTGACACAACGATGGTTATTTAGTGCCAGGGAAAAGTAAGACAGACCGACAGAAACAACAGAGTGAAAGTTAAGAAGTGTGACCTACCAGTGGTACTCTCCCGCTAGGCTTATCTCTCAAGCAAACATGTTCCCTTCATTCATCAGTATTACGTCTTTACAGGGGGGGGGGGGGTTTCAATCCATCAGAAACTGTTTTGAAACATGTGTTCTTGAGACCACTTTTTGGATAGAAAACATTCCTTACAGTAGCTGAAATCAACTCCTGGCACAGCTCCCAGTGATTTACAGGGTTTTTTTACCTGCTTGTGACCAAATCACAAATCAACGTTTATGTCCCTTTGCATAGACTACTCACAATCGTGGCTGGAAATCTAGAAAAGACATTTCAGACTGAGTGGACATCAGCTGCTGTGGTTCACATTGTTTTCTCTTTTTCCTTTTAGTGTAATCCTTTGATTCCCAATCTTTAATTCACATTGTTTTCCTTTTTTTCCTTTAATGTAATCCTTTAATTCCCAATCTTTAATTCACATTGTTTTCTTTTTTCCTTTAATTCCTAATCGATACAATTTAAACCATAGGTTGTTTCAACCTGGACTGTCAGGGCCAACCCGCACCAAATGAAACACAGCATCTCAGTTGACCGATGGCTATGCTCAATTTTTTTATTTAAACCTTCCTCTATGCAGGAATTGAACTCATGTCTTCTGTTTGTAACGAAGTACAATGTATAGTCTAACCAATTACAGCACTGAGGCCAGAGCAATGACTGAAAGCCTAAACAGGAAAATCAAGTTCATTCGGAATTGTCATTTTGTCAAGCCAGTAACTAAACTTGGACTATTATGAAAATACAGACACTACAGGAATACAGGCATTAGCTAAAGGATAAAACAATGTAATCTTTCTGATGAAAATAATAAACTTTTTTGCACACTCAAAAACAGCAAAAGTGAAACCAGGGTACACCATAGACTCGTAGTACAGTGATCGAGATTGTGCAGTAGGGCATATTTCACGTTCACTATGGAGAGCACCATTTTGACCATATGAAGGGCAAAGGGAAGAAGGGGGCAGAGCGCCTGCAACTACAGCGAGACTGGTGTTTTGCCACCCTTTATTTAGGAGTAATAGATTTTCCAGCGAAATCTTTTACAGAAAGCAAAGAATGGCGGCTATGACAGTGCACAGTGTATAAGGATACACTAACTCATCTAGAAAACAGCATGCAAGAGGGGGGGGGGGATAGTTCTTCAGAAGGATGGGGGACTGGGGGGACACAATATAGTCTATAGAGGCACATGATTATAGGAGTGCCAAACAAGGACCTCAAATCAAGGAGCATGAAGAAATAAAAATGAACAGTAGCACCAATAAAGAAATATAATTTCAAATAAAGAAAAATTCAATTCCACAAATCAACAAACTAGAACACAGAGGAAACGCACAACACTCAGTGACCACCTACACTACTACCCACAAGGCAGCAAGCGTGAAAGGGAAGGGGGGCGCAGGCGGGCGTGGCTGATGGATGGTGCATGCTCAAGGGTCTACCATGCACATACCAGGACGAGACGTGACAAAAATCATTTACCTTGTGCATCATTACCTTCAGCAGAGCGTTTGCTTGCTTAGGTTCCGCTTCGTTCTTATCCCCAAGCCGCAGGAAGTCGGAGCCGGAGACCCCCGCCGACGAGCCCATGGCCGCCTGCGACATCCCGTGGGTGATGGTGGGCAGCTCGTCCTCATCATCGTCCTGGCTCAGCAGTTTCTTCAGGATGATGTTGCTCTTGTCGTTACTCTCGCCACCAGAGCTGCTGTTGTTGGCGCCAGGACCCGACCCCGGGCCGCTCACGCCCAGGCTGTTGTTGTTCCCCCCGGCGCTGCTACTGCTCGCTACGCTCATCTCCATGTCCCCGTCCTCGTTGGACGTGCTCTGTGGCTTCTCCTGGGGGCTCTGTCCGGGGCCCTCTGTCGGGGATTGGTGGATGTTGTCGTCAGGTGACTTGAGGCGGGCGGAGCTACTGCTCCCAGCCCCGCCCCCACCCACGTTTGCGCTGCCACTGTTACTGATGTGAGCCTGCATGTCCACCGAGAGGTTCGACATGCTGGTAGGAAGGCAACTGCTAGCCATGGCGGCCATGTTGGCGCCGCTGCTAGACACCGGGTTCATCCCGCCTCCACCTGACGGGTGGGAGGGGCCTATCTGACCAGACACCCGCCTGTTCCGGCCTGCGATTGGCCGACGGCCCTCGCTGGAGGCGGGCGAGTGAAGAGGCTCAGGTGTGGTGCTCTGCGTGAGAAGCTGGCACAGCTTACGAGTCTGCTGGGTGGAGGACCCGTTGTTGTTGTTACTGTTATTGTTGGGGGTGGCTCGACCACCAACTAGATTCGAGTTATTGTTGTTGCCGTTATTCCCCGCCATTGTCGACGTGGCGTGCTGATGTCCATTAAGGTCCATACCTCCGGTTGAGTAGGAGGGCGACGACGACGATGACATAAACGACGAGGAGGGAAACGAGGCTGCATTTACGTTAATGTCCAGGCCCGACAAGCCCGAGTTGGAGGTGGAGTCCAGGCTCTGCAGGGCATGTAGCGGCGACGGGTGCGACACGTTCATGGACGTGCTGTAGTCTCCCGCGCCCGGAGGGGTTGGTGGGACAGACGCTGGCGACCGCCTCCAGCTGGCAGGGCTTTGGGGATAACCTGGCCACAGCGAAAGGCAAAAAGTATGATTGACTCATTGAAACATTTTACACCCTCATCAACATTATTTGGAAAATAAATGGGGGGGG